ATTATTATTAAAAAACACAGGCAAAGTCAAAATTATAAAAACATTGACTAGTACTATATAACAGATACAAGTTTTAACCAAAAACCTAAGTGTTTGTTAAATATCAGTGCAGTATGTATGCTGTTCCTAATACTGTTTTTGTAGTTCTGCTGGTCTGATTTATGAGATCTGCAACTGCTCATAGTACTAGGTGAAATTTATTGATATTATTCCCAAAGCCCCAATGACTACTGGGACCACTGACGTGTGTCTCTTCCAGAGGTGAGATGTTTCGATTGCCAGGTCTCTGTATCGTTAGTTTTTCCAATTCTTTACAGTGGACCCTCGACTTACAGACGGCTCCACTTACAGACTTTTTGAGTTACAGACTTCTCTGGCTGCAAAATTTAGGTTCGACTTGCAGCCGGAGAATCGACCTACAGACAGGAAAAAACAAAACAAAATGGAACAAAAATGGCCGGTTACGAATTAATTGGTTTTCAGTGCATTGTAGGTCAATGGAGCCTCGACCTACAGACTTTTCGACCTGCAGCCACCGTTCCAATACAGATCAATTCCGTAAGTCGAGGGTCCCCTGTATTTTCAACTCTGACATTCCCTGGAATTACAATGTCAATGATCCGGACATTTCTTTGTTCTATTACTATTATGTCTGGTGTGTTATGTTCAAGGTGTCTGTCCATTTGGATCTGGAAATCCCACAAGATCTTGACTTCCTCATTCTCTGACACCTTCTCTACCTGATGTTCCCACGAATTTTTGGAGGCCGGCAAGTAATATTTTTTGCATAATAATCAGTGCACTAACTTTTCCACTCTATCATGTCTAACTTTGTAATCTGAGTAGTAGTAGTAGTAGTAGTAGCAGCAGTAGCAGTAGGATCCAACATGTCACTGCAGCCATAAATGTTTAGGACTTGAACTTTAATTATTTTTGTCTAGTCCTTTAGATTTGCCCGTTCACCAGAAACACTGAGATACATAAATTTATAGTAACAACAGCAGCAGTCGTAGCAGCTACCACTCAGCTATGAATAGATATTATATTTAAATATTCATAGTTTAAAAAATAAGTTGAATTGTGCACATTTTAAAGACAGCCAAGTAATTTATGGTGGTACTGGAAATGAAAGAAAGTTTTATCAGTATTAGAATTCTATTTGCCATCTGTTTACAAAATCACAGGAAATGTCACCATGATCTAGAATAGAACTAGGTCTTAAGTGTGCTAAAGTCTATCTGAAAGCACTTCCACATAAGTATACACAACATTCCTCTGAACTTTCTTCAGTTCTACCCACTGCAGGGACTGCCATCTTCTCAGAGATAAATGTTAACAGCTGCATAATAGGCAGAAATTCAACCCATGTTCCTTTTTTTCTGCATGAAGCACTCCATTGATTTTCTTTGTTTTTGCTCAGTTCTCTATCCTGTCCTGATCTTCTTCAGTCTTTTTTTTTCCTTTTAAGGTATCAGCTGACCCTTCCAACTGGGAATTATTTGCAAATTTGCTGTACATCCCTCTACTCCTTCATCCACGTCATACTAAATTTGCTGAACAACACCAAGCCTAGGTGAGAACTCTTCATTCACTACACTTGTCAATTCAGTCCAGGTTAACAAGAATTCGGCAGGTGTGGTTTATTGGCCACTCACAAATCCACATAACTAGCAGTAACTACCACATGTTTCCTTGTTGTCTTTCTGCCCCTCGTATAGGTAAAAATGCTCTCAATGTCAAGGGAAATAGATAACTATGAAAAGGAGGCCCATGCCATGCTTTGAAACTTACTAGGAAGATGGTCCTTATTCCAAAATGGATCCTAGTAAAGCTACAGCAGAATTTATGGTAATCATCTGAGGAACTTTCCTTCACATCAGAGCTTCTCTACATAGACATTCCTGAAATACCTAAATATCCACAAACGTCTTCTAAACTGCTGGGCCACAATTATCAACATACCCTTAAGGGCCTTCCTGAATGTTTGCCACATTATGTCAAGCCATTTTTTTTCAACCCATGCCTTACACGTGTATTGTACCTTTAAAAAGTACCATTTCAAGCTGGTGTGGATAATGGGAGTTGCAATCCAACATATCCGGGGTGGGGGGGTGATTGCACAAGGAAAAAAAAAACCCTGATCTGTCTTTTTTTCAGAAATACTAGCTCTGCCAAAAAGCACAACTGGGCAAATCTTTTCTTGCCATAGAGCTAAACAGGTTCAGTTGCTAAGTGGTCCTAATCAAATGACTGTTTAAGGGAAAGTGACCAGGACTGGTTCAAAAGCTGGCAACCTTGAGGCAGTCCTTCATGGAATCAGGAAATTCAGTCCTTTGGAAATAGCACCTGTAGGGTTCCTGTTGTTTCTAACTTTGGTCCGTTTCAAAGGAGCCAGAACTGAATAAAGAGAGGTATGGAAAGAGTTCCAGACAAGGACAAACCTTGTACAGAGCCAATGACCTCTTATGCAAGGCTTCAAAATGGGTATACATTTGCTACCATGAATGCAGTCATTGAAAGGAAGAAGGCATAGTAAACCTAAGCCTGAATATCTTTGCGGCATCCAAGCCTTACGTCTGCATTACAGATATCATCACCTTGACCACAGACCATATTCCCTTCCTTGGCCTCCAAATTCCCTTCATAAGCAGCTGAGATTGTATCTCAGTGCTGAGAATAAATGTAAAGTATAGGCAACAATCTCACTTCCATCTTGGTCCAGCTGAACTAAAGTCCATTGTGACTGTAATAATTTAATGTGTACCACTGGAATTTCTGTCAGAAAATTATTTATGAAGTCTGCCACTTAAATGCCTTGTTTGCTCGCTTCTGTATTTGCTTGTCTGAGTATGAAAGTATTTTCCATATCTATTTAGGGTCCAATGTCTAAATGGAAACCTCTCACATATTGTTCAGAACTGAGCTCTAACAGATAATAGGAAATGGGCACAACAACTTTGACTTTGCTGCTAATTAGATACACAGATCTGTGTTATTTTGAGCTTCTTGGAGGTAACCAAAGCTACAGTTTAAGTCCCAGGTTCAGGTTCAACCTAGTTTTCAAGGCAGAAAAGCGTTTTCTCCATGCCAATTAAATGCCATTGGGATCTTCCTTACCTGCACATGATTTCATGGGTGAGCAGAACTCTGCACATTTCTGGGTTCTTGTCTTGGCCTTCATATACTATCGCCTAGAAAGAAAAGATGGGGGATTTGATTTGATTTCATTTTTTTAAAAAGGAAAAACTGCAGAACGAATGTGCCTGGAGAAAAATGATCACTGTCACAGTACATAAATGCATAACTATGTGGCAAGACAGTTAGCTTTGCTTAAACAGACGGCATTGTCACAAAAAAAAAGTGCCTCGAGATTTTTGTTGTTGGTGAGCCCCACAAGCCAAGCGGAGAGAGTCTCTCTCTCTCTCTCTCTCTCTCTCTGTCATCTGCTTTAACCAACACATTATGCACATCTTTCAACCAGTCTGTAGGTTACAGTGTTTTTTTTAGTAGTCAAGACAACCACAATGTTCTTTTCAATTCAGAATAAAATATAAACTTAATAGTGTAAGAAGAAGAAAAAAAGCACATACAGGAAGGCTCAGTCAAACACTATAGGGCCTATTCATAAGATTTAAAAAAGTTAATATATTTTTAATTCAAAAAGCATGGCTGTGCACTTAACTAGCTACCACATGAGTACAGAAACTGATTCACACCATGCTCAGTAAAACTCCAGCCTAGTTAACTGTGCTAACAAATTAAAGCAAAGCAAATTCCTGTAAATGCAAATAAACAAGTTCAGGAAAACAAGAGGAGAAGACAGTGTAACAGACACTCCAGTATCTGGTCTCCCTTAGCGAGATTTCTGTCTGCTTTACGGGTTATATTTTTAGATGTACCGCTCAGAATGGAATGACACATCATAACAGCTTTCCCCAACTTGCCCTGCTCTGCATGGTGGGACAGGGAAGATGGGAACTGTAGTACGCTGAATTGCACCAGGATGAGGAAGGTTGCACTAAGCCACCAAACATGTGCTTGGCTGTCAAAACTAAAGGGGGTCTTGGAGTTCCTTTGTAAGAGGAACCAATGTAGGAGGGCTACTGAGCCTTTCTGTCAAATTCCACTCACCTCTACAGCATCCAAGCCCCTGCCCTAGACGTTGCATCTTACTGGTTCCAGACACAAAGGGTAGAAAAACGTGGGCAGAGGCAACAGGTTATGTTGAAGAGCCATGAAGGAAGATGGGTGAGCAGAAGAAAAATTACGCGGGACTTTCTTATCTCCCAGGTTCTACTCTATGGATGCTGCATCATTAACATAGCGCCAAACACAGCATCCTTGTTTCAGCCACCTTAGTACCTGTCCACTCCTTCAGGGTGGACAGGTATATTTGTCAGTTCCAGTTCCGTGTCTCAGGAATTCTTGGTGACAAAATCCAAGTTTGTTGCCATGTCATGGATGAAATTCTCCTTCATTTTTCAATTCGAAAATGATGGGAATTTTGACAGCGGCTGTCTGTTTCCATTCCTCCTGTACCTTAAGGCTGTAATCCTATGTTGCCTTGAAGTCAATGGGGGACTAACAGCTGAGAAAATAAATAAAGAAGAGGCCGTTTAGCCAGGTCTGGCTTTCCCGATCATACGGCCACATTACTATTTATCTAAAAGATTCATATAGGAACCAGAACAGAAATCTGAGTTCTCTACCTGAAGGAAATATGGCCTTTCTCCCGGCACAAAATGTACACTTAGTTTAAAAATGCAAGAAGTAAGCAAGACAGCAAATACCTAGGAAAGAGACTTTGTGTAATGAATGGTAAACAAAGAGGAATAGCAATGGGGCAGGTGGGGAAATCAGCCTGGCATGTGCCTCCCATTAAAAAGAAGAAGAGGTTTTATATAGAGAAATCACTAGGTTTTTCACGGCACAAAACTCTGCCCACCTGCACATGGTGATCAAAGTTATGTGGAAGAAACTGTTCCAGGGGCCTGCAAAGGCAGAGCCATCCCAAAGAATAAGAGCTTATTGCTGAAAACTGTAGCAAACAAATTTATGGAGGTCCCATAAAAATGGCAAGCAGCCTCACGCAGGGAATACTGCTGTGCAATGGGCATATGTTTTTGCAGGACTGAGCTCTGCATTTGCAAGACTTAACCTTTGCTGCCATCTTGTTAAAAGTAGGCCATTAGTAAAGGCCTTTTACTACACTGAGCAAATACAGAAGAGGGCTGGGCTCCTGTGTCGTTCTTTGCTAATTACACGGAGGAAAGGGTTTAATCAGGAGATGTTTCTCCTGCAAAGGTAGGTAAACGTGCCCCTCCTCAAACAGCTTCCTCTACACAACAGTGAAAAGGAAAGAAACCCTCCTGTCCATTATACCTGCTTGTCCTGCATTTTGCAAGTTAGAGGTGTCAAAACAGATCAGCAATTCATATTTTGCAAAAAGATGGGAAAAAAAGAAATGATGATGTGTATGTCTTCTTTACTGTATTATTATTATTATTATTTTAATCACTGGGTCCAGTGTCTAGAAACTTTAATAAGCATAGTCATATTTATTTATTTATTTATTTATTTATTTATTTATTTATTTATTTATTCATTTATTTATTTATTTATTAGATTTTTATCCCGTCCTTCTCCTCAAATAACTCTTGAATCACTTACAGTTCATTAGTTTGTCAGTTTCTGCACAACATAGAGAATAATAGAAGACTTGCCTCACTAGATAGATAAAAGTTCTACGTTGCTATTTTCTCTTGCATGGTGGCTATCAAAATTCTTTTATCCCACTACTATGAGTTATACTGCTCCTGAACGTGAGGGGCTCCATTTCAATTCTGATGACCATGAATAAGGCCACCGGAATGTAGGAAGTTGCAGGTTACACCTAGCTTAGTACTGTGCTTCACATGGCTTTGTATTGATGGGGCACAACTAACATCACCTTTGATGCCACTGTTGCAATCAACAGGAGCGCTTTACAGGTCCTTATTAAACCTACTATTATGTCAAACTAATGCTTATCAGAGGATGCAGTGGGGTCCCTAAATACAATCAGGAAAACTCCCTAATACTGTATGTCAGGAAGGGGAACAGCAGCTAAAAATACATGAGATAAAACACCGCATGAGGCAACTGGGCAGGATTGTAACTTTGCTATGGGAATAGGAGAAAAGAATGGAGATTGCCTGAGCAGCAGTCATGAATCTTAGCCAGCAAAAGTAGTTGCTTAAACACAGTGTTATCCCACTCCAGCACTGTAGACTATATTTTAGTATGATTTAGTATAGCCATAAATAATACCACTGATGTTGCTGTAGCTTTCCACAGCATTGCAAGCAACCAACTTCAGTGTTTGAAAAAACTTTAATGGTGCTCACACATACCATGTCTCTCTCTCTCTCTCTCTCTTTTAAATTTTTTGGACTTCCAGATAATGCCCTGTCCAACACAGTCACCAGTAGGGAGATTCTGGAAGCTGTAGTGATAAAAGTAATTTTTCCAAGAGTTTTGTATGGATTGTTGTGCTCAGTTGCTTTTAATGTGTTTTTAATATTGTTTTGAATTACCATTTCTTTAGTATTTATGTATTTATTTATTTAGCTTATATGCCGCCCACACCACCCAAAGGTCTCTGGGCAGCTTACAACAATAATACTTGATCTTTTTGTATACTTACTGCTTTTAGCTTTTCAATATCATCTTTTTTTAATGATGTAAGCTGCCTTGGGCCCTTTTCAGGAGATAAGAATATTTTATTTGAGGTAAAAAATATTTTAAATAAATAAAATACATAGCAGGGTTTTGTGTTTTATTTGTATTTTAAAATACATAGCGGAAGGTTTTGATTCAATCCTTGTTACTTGTAATGAAATGGATTGTGCCTACATTTTTAAAAGGTGCTACCATACAAATTATAATGGGCCAAGAGGCCCAAGTCTTCTGGCCCTCCATAATATAGCATCACGTTTCCTAGTCACATTCATATTCAGGTTTACATCCTATTTAATGTCTCAGTACCTTTATATGCGCACTACACCATTTTCAGAGCAATTTTGAACTAATTTCTACCTTTAACAAAGGCTTTTAACAAGCAGGCATCCATGGAAAGGGTCGCATTTCTCAAAGCACCCCATCAACAGTCGCCTTTCATGCTGCACTGTTATGCAGAATGAGAAATCCTCTTATGTGCCAGGAGAACAGAACTTGGGGTGCTTTCAATTCAGTAAATGCTTGGATTCAACTCAGGAAACTCTTGGATTTATTTTTATTATTTTTACACTGCATTTGGAGTTTAAGTTTACAAACCATCATGACCAGATATAGGTTGTAATTTTTTACTTTTATTGTTTTGTAAAGCAGGGTCGATGTGTTGTGAATCTGACAAGTTTAAGTGTTAAAAATAGTAGTAATAATACTCTTAGAACTGCAGAGCTCCACAGGGACCCCCTGGATCTGGAGCCCAGCCCCTGTCAAGGAGGCACGGTGAAGAATCAGAACTCGCAACCTCTGTCTAAACCACTGAGCTGTCCAGCAGTTCCAAAATGTCTCAAGCATAATTAAAAGGCCCTGCAAAGGACTAGGATTGCAGGAGGAGGAAGAGCGAGTACATGATTGAAAGGGGACTGCAGGGAGGAAAGAATACCAAAGGCTTTATTGTGATTGATGAGTCACGATATCTGGGCTTTCCCCAAAAAAGTTAATGCAGCTGGTGGGGCGAAGGAGTTCTGTGCTGAATAATTGATTGTGCGCTTAATACGGCACAGGAGGGCCCCCAAGGAATCTTTCCCGGAGAGAACTAAAGACACCGAAGCCCCACTATTGGGCATGCTCCTCATACACCATGCTCCTCATACACCAGTCTTGCAAGCACCGGAGTCAGTGCGGGTTTAATTGCAGCAATATCAACGTCACGAGCAGCTACAATCAAGAACGAGTGGATTTAATTCCCTCTCTTTCTCCACTTCCTCTCCCTCTCTTCTTGCTCCTGTTATGCTTACTTAACCTCCAGGTACCTGCTTTTAAAAATAATAATCAGCCAGCTAAATAACAATAATGAAGAAACAGAGTCCAACAGTGTGGTATCTAATCACCTGTCTATTGTGTTTAACATCAGCAACCTTTTTGCTTGTGTGTGTAAAACATCCTTAGCCTTGCAATCTACTGGGGCCAAATTTCTATGGTG